ATTTTGTATACTTCGATTGCAAAATTTCTGAGGCGTCTAATTTTGAGGGATGGTAATTTTGAGCGGGCCAATAAAACTTCGTATGTACATGTGTGGTCGTCGTATATGAATCTGAGTGCCCTTTCCTGTATTTTTTCCATTTTTTTTGTGTTTGTTTCGCCACAGAAATGCCATGTGAGGGGACAGAAGTTAAAGTTTGAGAGGATGAATGAGTGATATATAGTGAGTTTGCCTAGTCTGTTTAAGTGTCTGCCTATTCGTTTTAGTACGTTTAATTGTCTAGATGCTTTTTTACAAGTGTTTGAGATGTGTGTATGAAAGTTTAGTTGGAAATCTATGGTGACACCTAGCAATTTCACTTCTGGTTCGCAGTTAATCAAATTGTTCTGTCCTAAACTAAATGTGATATTTTCTTGTTGTGTTTTTTTGCCTATAGCCATTGCCTGGAATTTGTCTGGATTTGCCTGCATGTGGTTGTCTGCGAACCAGTGTATTAGTGCGTCGCTGTCTGTCTGTAGTGAAGATTTGACTATGTCCAGTGAGGAGTGTGCTTTGCTGAGTGTGTTGTCGTCGGCATAGTTGTACAGGTTGCTATGTTCTATGAAATGGAATATGTCGTTGATAAAAATGTTGAAAAGAATAGGGCCTAAAATTGATCCTTGGGGTACCCCCTTGTATAAATTTTGAAATGTGCTAGTGGTTTTGCCAAGTTTGACGCATTGTTTTCTATTACTTAAATAGTCCGAAAGTAAATTTGTTGCCGACTGATCTAAACCATAATTTTGGAGTTTGAGAAGAAGAAGGTTGTGGGGCAAACAGTCAAAGGCCTTTGAGAGATCCATCAGTATGCAGGCTACATACTGATTTTGGTCTAGTGCCATCTTCCAGTCCTCGATGACTCTCAGTAATGCCGTTTGACACCCATATCCTGCTCTAAATGCAGAGAGATAAGGGTGAAAAACGTCATCAAAGAAGTCACTGAGTTGGGAATGTATGGATCTCTCAAAAATCTTGGAAAGTGCCGGGAGAATGCTGACGGGTCTGTAGTTGCCTTTGTCAAGTGTACTGTTTTTCTTGTGTATTGGTCTGACTTGTGCTGATTTTAGGTTGTCTGGAAAGGTGGAGGTGGATAGGGCGGTATTGACAAGTGTAGTGACTGGTTTAGTGATGGCGGGTTGTGCTAAACGTAATAATTTAGGCGATATGTTATCGTAGCCCGTTGCTTTCTTAGGGTTTATTTTGTTAAATTGTTTATGTATGAATTGTTCGTCTACTGGTTTAAATTTGAATTGACTCATTTGAGTGTTGTGTTTCTGGTTTTCTGTGATTTTTTGTAAACTAGGGTGGGTATTGTTTATGTCGATGCTGTTTGTACCTATTTCTTTTGCTACGTTAACAAAAAAGTTGTTAAAAATTTCTGCTACTTCTGTTTGCTCATTAACTATTTTCTCTTCATCTAGGACGATGTCAATTTGTTTTTGATTTCCTTTGTTGGTTATAAAAGGTTTAATTGTGTCCCAAAAGTTTTGCGTGTTTTGCCCCCCTGTACACTTGTCTATGAAATAGTGTCTTATTGATTGTTTTCTTAATTTAGTGACCTTATTTCTCTGTTTCGACTATAAGATTATTACAAAAAATAAATCTTTGCGATTAAACCTATTTTGCCCAAAATAATACATGGAGATCAGAGGAGACTTATCAAGGGAAGGAAATAGAAGAGTCGGTAAGATTGAGATATCAGATATAATGGAATATGTAGATTCAGAAAGACAAAGATGGGGCAATAATCTTTGAAGAACAACAAAAAGCGTTGACAGAGTAAAATGGGGATGGTTAGAAGAAAAACAATTGGGAAAATATGATCAGATGAATAATTATGACGTATAAAAAGTCTCCAAACTGTATGCTCATTGATTAACGGTCATTTATCAAAATTCTTCGCTATCAGTAGATCAGTAAAACAGGGATGCCCTTCATCACCGATGCTCTACAATTTGCAAGCAGAACCTATGGCATATGGCATGCACGATTAGAAGGAATAACCATATTTTAGGTTTCAATTTATCAGTGGTAAATAAAATGAAACGTCAAGCAAAAATAGGCATGTTTGCAGACGATTCGCAATTATTTATAGGAAAAAAATAGTCAATACCAATAAGTACTGAACAAATACGAGAAAACTTCAGGTGCAAAAATTCATCTTAAAGGGACCACGGAACCAAATCAAAAATAGATTGTGGGTTTTTCCCTTTTGGGCAGAAGATTTAATAGAAAGGTGAATGCCTCGGGGCCTGCTGGTTGGATATTAAGGTGGCAGAAGTTTCAAAAGTTTTATGTGTGGGTTGAGCAATATATATAGATTTAATATATATATAAAAAAAATAAAAAAAATTCAAGTCTGGTTTTGTCTGGGTGAGTTTATTAAGTGTGTAATTTACTGTAAATTTTGTTCGATTTTTAGTGCCGAATTCAATACAAGATGGCAGCCCCCATATAAAAAAAAGTTCAAATTGGCAGAATTTTGAAATATTTTTTTTACAGTTGTGTGGGATGCTATTCTTCAAAATGAGGTCTGGTAATGGTGTGGATAACCCAATTTAACCAGGACAGGGGTAAACGTTAACACTATCGTCTATGGAAAATCATTTGGTTCCGCGGTCCCTAAATAGACTAAAGGGATATATATCGGTCGTATAGAAGCCTCCAAACGTTAGAGCTATAACTTGGACAAAAGGTAATGTTGAAGCACTAGGCATACTACATAGATATAACATAGACAAGGACAAAATATTCGATGATCAAAAAAAGTAAGATAGAAAACATTACATGGAAAAAAGAGGTCTCTAGCTGAAATGAAAAGTCTTAATAGTAAAATCCAATATGTGCTCATTATTCACATATGAACTAAATAAAAATACTATAGTAGACAATTTCATAAGACGAATCAATAATTTGATATATGAATATGTATGAAACAGCAAAGTTAACTAGGTATCGAAACAAACATGTTACTTGGAACGAGCAAAAGGGGGGTTGTCAATGATTGATATACACACAATCATAAACATTAGTAGAATAAAACTTAGGTACAGAATTATACATAGTGAAACTGATACATGGAATATTTTGGGAAAACATTGGTTACAAAGTTGTGAAATGAAATTCTGCACTAATTATTTTTATGTAAATGCATTAGTACAAAAAGTCTTAACCCTAAAAATACCATCAATATATGAGCAGGCACTAGTACACTGGCAAATATTACTAAGAATATACAACAATATTTCCAAAAAATAAACTTAAAACCAAAGTCTATTTTTTAACCATAAGTTATTGTTTAAGAAAAACCTATATTTTTTTAGAAACTGGGCAGAAAGTGGTATATTCGACAAAACACTTTTTATCGTCAGACGCATACCTCCAAAAATTAAAAAAAATAAATAAAACTGGATGGCAGAATATTCAAAATTAAAAAAGCAATCTCTAAAGAGTGGTTAGAGAGCATCAAATATAATCGAGAAAATGATGAAATAACGACAGTTATATAACAGACGATTTGTATGTAATACATAAGGGTTCACTCTTGAACAGTAATACGCTAGAAAGTAAACTGCTAAAAAGGATATTCTATGGTAAACAGCAGGCTATAAAATCACAAATAAAATGGCAAAATCATTTTGATAACAACAATATTGACTAGAGTCATATTTGGAAACCATTGAATAAAGCAATAAGTGACAATAAAAGTAAGTAATTTCCTTGGAAATGTCTGCATAGAATTGTAAATACTGAACACAAAAAACAAATGCATAATGGTTTGTGCAATTTGTGTGCACAGGAAAATGAAACTCTTTATCTTTTAATTTTGACAAGATAATGAGGTTTGGGAGAAGATAAAAGACAATAAAAACAAGCTTACCAGAAATTAACTACGAATTCAATTATGTACAGACCTATAGGGAATCATATTAAACTAATCAGGAAAAACATTGCCACATGCAAAACCACAAAATCGAAATATAAAAATGAGATTAATATGGTAGACAAAATAATACACAATTGGATGTGACACATTGAACAAAATGTTATAACTGGATGAGTTCATGTGTCCCTTTCCCTTCTACAAATACTATAATGGACTAAGACGTCAAATATGCAGGACAAACCCAGGAAGATATGAAAAAATTGACGAGATGTATCACAGGTAACTGAATACTAAATATACATGCATTATTAATTGTTTTAAAAACAAGATGGGATACTATTAAATTAATTTGTATCTGAAGCATATTTATGTAGTCACAGAAATAAAAGATGTGCAAGGTCAATATGTTGAATATGTGAGTGCAATATGTTAAATGTGCGAGTGCAATATGTTATAGTGCAAGTTTTAATATGTTTTAGTGAGATGTTCATGTTGTTCTGTGCGGGTTCAACATGTTAATGTGCGTGTTAAACATTTGATGTGAGTTTTAATGTACACGAACCAGCATATATTAAGTGTTTTGAATAGATATGAATAAGGTTTCCAATTTGTGAATGTGTGAGTTTATGTATAGTATGTCAATTGTGTTAATTGTGAATAAAATTGATTAAAAAAAATGTAAGGTTTGGAAAGAGAAAAACATTTCACATCATAATACAAATACGACAGGGTTAGCATGACCTCGTTATAGCTAGATATAATATACGCATTTCTATATCTTCTGGCAATTTTATAGATTATGCCCACTCTTGTTTTATGTAAAATGGTATTGAATGCCATTTAGGTAAACTTTGGATGATACAACAAATGCTAGTTGAACGAGAGTTTGTCTATTCCATATGATTTTGCGACATGCTTGAAAATGTTATGAAATTTTGAAAATATGGCTAATACATGTAAATGTACATATTCCATTTGTATTCGTAGGAAAATCTACAAAAAACAAAACTAAGTCAACGCAAAACCCTTACATAAACAGTGAAGAGTGTAACACAGCAGCCGTGAACACACGTAACAGCTGATAATAATAATGTTTATTCATAGACGTTCATCAACAATCTCATTACAAGTACATGTACATGTGGTTACAACATCTCATCTACGTATGGTAATACTTCACGTTGTGTCTCTGACTTCGAGCTCAGTAACTAGGCATGTGCCAAACCATGGCCACACTCCCCATACTCTGAACTCTCTGAACATGGGTCCAAATTGACCTGTCGTTCTCATGGCTAATTCCCGACTCCCTGAATATAGGATGCACACTGTTAAATACGTTTTCCAGTACATATGTTACATTCTTGCCTTCATCCATCATCTGTCCTTATACCTATACACCTGTCATCATAAACAATTGGTACATACCTATGTGACTATATTACATGTACCCTTTAGGCTATTGCTACTTGACCCATAACTGACCCCGACTAGCACACGACTTACAACCCAAAGATAGGATGAATCTAACATAAATTAATCACATTAATTAATTAGGTTAACTATTGGGTAAACTCATAGTGTCACAAGAGTTGGTAGCATTGGTAATGCATCTTTTGATGTTTGACCAACACCGACACGTTTAAATTGAAATATTTCGAAAATGTCATTTGCTTTAAGTGAACTGTTGGTCGATGATCGTATTGGGAGTGGAGCGTTAATAAAACAGCAAAAAGTTGCCAAATATTATTGCACATCTACTTTTCACTCTGTATCACCATGTCAATATTTCAGAAAGATTAGTCTTTTGGATTCAGAGATAATCTCGAGAATTTAAAGTGTTGACGGACATCGTGATTACTATAAGGCACTTAATCTTATTAGCGTATCTGGTATTTCTGAAACCCTCAGCAGTGTCGGCCAATAGCACCATATCATCTGCATCCATCAAGAAAATTGATGAACTTATTGCTTGTTACTCTATAGAACGACAAACTTCTAAGCACAAATATATATCTCACAAAATGTGTATTATATTCGTATTGTTTTGATAAAAAGAAAGTTGTGTTGTATAATAGCAAATTGATGAGTAAGGTTCTATCGGGTTTTTTTTATATACAATTACACTTAACCATGAAAGCCAATATAAACAACAAGCTTTAACTTGCTTTACATGCAAAATTGATAAGATTGTTCAGTGATATATCGTCCAACAGTGGATTTGGATGAATATTGACGTTTTCGGCTGCCACTGACATGTCCCACTGGTCAAGGTAAATTACTTTGTGCAGTAAATCATTGAACTCTTCCAGTAAAACCTGTTCCACGAACATTCCAATGTAGGCATATGGCTTGTTTGCATTGAAATATGTTATGAGGTGAGGACCTTTAATGAAAACCTGAACATCCGGGGACCTCGTCAGAAGCTTCACAACGGCAGCCTTTGCATGTTGCACGTGATCCCGTAAATCTACGTGATCACAGCACCTCGCGATGTGGGCATACCAGTGGATGATTACAATGGCAGAGCTGTTCCCCGGGATTTTGTCCAGTCTGTGGGCTACAGACTTAACGGTTTTCCTATCTGACCCCGGTGACCCGTGGAAGGGAAGCTCGTGCGGCTGCCATTCAGTGTCCAATCCCGATGTGGTGTTATACGCACGGGCGAACTTTTGCCATGCATGAGCTGAAATATGTGCCGAATCCTTGATATTTAAGAAAGACGCAAGACGGAAGAACCACTGCCTGGTTGTTGAATCACCAATCGAAATGACAGGTCTATCTTTAAGACACGCCAGATACTTCTCCTTACTTCGGTTTACTGTGGGCTGGCAGATAAGGTTGTGATACGCTCCCCTGTAGAGGAAGCCTGACGGTACAGTACTGTTCCATGTTAAGGCACGAGGCAATACATTGCAGTGAGTAGAAGGCGCCGGATAGTCTAGATCTCCTTTGGAGCCTAAAACAAGTAGATGTGTTTCATCAGTGAAGTAATTAAAACTAGATCAAATGTAAAAAGAAAAAAATTACCAAGCTTGAATTGAAGAGACAACATCTCAATACTGAAGACAATTTGTAATCGTTATCTAGGTTTCCTTGAAACTTTTACAGCATTAACGCTTAGCTTAATGACTAAGATTAGTTGCGTTTGATGTTCGAGTTTCATGGGATATTGCAATCCTTTGTTAATTTTGTCTTTTAGGAACTATGCCATGACTACTGCCAAAATGCATATACTGTAACTGTATAATAAAACGAATGTATTGCATCAAGAATTGTGTCGAGTCAAGAGCTGTCAAGCGGCGACCCTCATACTATAGGGAAATCTTGAATTTCTAAAAATTTTGCTTTGTTATCTCAGCTACGTGATTTTATTTGTGCTTAAATTTTAAACTTTACTCCTTTACTATTTCGTCTTTTTATATCTACCACTGCCGATATCGTTTTCCCAGACCGTTCCTTGCTTAACAATCTATTGAATTGAAGTGCTTGTAAAGGGCAACTCAGACACGGACTGTTGCCTATTCCTTTCAAATGTCGAAGAAAAGCTAAATCTTCTAATCTTTCAATATCAAATTACAAACACGAGGAAAACATTTTCGGAATTATGGAGTTTCAGTGTGGAAGCAGTAGGCATTTGCGCGACAATGTTACCCTCGAGTGCGATTACCAATCCGAGTATCTCCACGTGATAGCTAATAGCTAATGACTTCTGGACACTCTTTCCCAAAAACATATTTTCGACGTAATAAGTGCCTAGGGCGCTTACAAAAAATACCTTAAACCGTGCGCTTATTATGATGACAAAATATGGGTTTTCATAGTAAAACGTGTGTAGTTGTAACTGTTGCTACAGTATAACAGAGGACATTATAAACATTACAGTGTGGCTGACGGTTTTGCTATCGTGATTGTGGCTGAACAATCCGCTTCACGGGAAGTTTAGCCACGACAGTGCAAGTACTGTAAATCGTTGACCAGGCTTGGGTGAGAAGCGGGTGTATATAAATCTAATTCCTCTAGAAAAAGAGAAAGGGTGTCAATTACGGCGAATACGGTATGTAGTAAAGTTTTTCTTTGGTACAATGTAGGCCATACCTACATAACATCATTTTATATGAAGAAGACCAACCTTGTTGTCATGCATGTGATCAACCATTTACAGTCAAACACTTTATGATTGAATGCGCTGATTTAAAACTAATACGTGACAGATTTTATAATGTACTCTCTATGAAACGTTTATTTGATACAGTTTCTGTGCAATCAATCTTTGATTATTTACATTCAATTAATCTCTATAATAAGATTTGATATATTTTATAAACAATTCGTTTGCTATTGATATACATTGTAGTTTGACATTTTTACATTTTGTTTCTGGTTTTTAGCTCACCTGGCCCGAAGGGCCAAGTGAGCTTATGCCGTGGTGCGGCGTCCGTCGTCCATCCGTCGTCCGGCGTCAATATTTTACAGGGGACAAATATGTTAAAATCTTCGAACGACTTCTCCTCAATAACCAATAGGCCAGGGGTATTGATATTTGGCCTGTAGCATGCTGGGATGAAGGACTATAAAGTTTGTTCAAATGAATAACCATGACCCACTTTCAACCTAATGTCCTTAAACGACATTCAAGGTCACAGGCGTCATATGTTTAAATCTTTTAATTGGTTCTTATGAATCAAACACTGATATTCTGCCTGTAGCTGTATTTTAATCCCATTTTAAGGTTACAAGTGTGAGATTAATACCAGGTGAGCGATGCAGGCCTATTGGGCCTGTTGTTATGTATTCAGATTTTTGTGAATGTCTATTGTTTACGTTGTTGTTTGGCCTTAAATGACTCAAATTGTCGATGGACCGTAAAACAACACAAAATACAAATACAATTTGGTGCAATGTACCAATAAAAATAGTTTACTGACTTACTGTGGAATCTAGTGTTTAATGTATGCAGTTACCTGTGAAATTAAGCATATTATCCTGAGGCTGTCTAGTCTACCGATGTTTATCTGACAGCTTATCCGAATATAAATACAAATTAAATATACCAAAAAATGCCTGTCCTGATTATGAAAACGAAATAATAGTTTACAATGTATCTAATAAAGTGATTGGTAATAAAAACACTTACTTGGAACAATAGTCAAGTGGATCTGCTCCAGCAGCACATCCTTATATCTAAACAGAGATCAATCTCACATAAAACGTGATCGTTAAAATCCACGTGCACTGTCCAATGGCGGATCTGGGTTTTTTCCAAATTTCCACTCGTGGGGAGGGTGCCATGAGGGGAAAAATTGAGGAAAATGGTGAAAAAAAATAAAATAAAAATCTCAGGGTGGGGGGGGGAGGGGGTANGCTATTTGTATTAATATACAACAATATAGAATATAAAAATGTATATAGACTTATATGTATATAATATATAAAGCGATGTTATCCATATAGTTCCACGTCTTACACGAATTATTCAATATAATTTCTAAACTATCTTCAATCCATATTATTAATATTCGAAACCTACAGCTTAAATTGCCCTCTACCAAAACAATTTGCATATTGACTAAATTCTAGATCCGACGTATGCAATATATCACATCAGTTTTTATCAATTTACCTGAGTATTTTCCTTGTGATGTCATCGTAGTACAAAGAATCGTCCCAGCCATACTTTACCCATTTCTCACACGGAACAGATTTGGGCTTTCCACAAAATAAAGAGATATTATAGTTTTCATGTGTTAAATTACAGAATCCTCCATATGTTTTGTTCAGCCAACCAGATGTTTTTGGTGCACATTGAGTCATCTCGCTTTTCTTGTTCTCAACAAATGTTGCATTTATGAATTTATAAGAGCCATATACGTGCACGTAATTTGTGAATAAACCGATCCCCTCCTTCGTGTTGGTGACAGACACTTTCACTGATACATTTCCCGCCCAAAACGCCATCACGTGACCTGTGTAGGTTCCATTCATATTGTCAACCACGTAACCAGCCACAGACGAACTTCCGTCCGCATTTTTCAGCCAAATGTTGAGGAAGTCGCCTCCTTGAGTCAGGGACTTGTTGTTACCATTATAGAGGTGTATTCTCGCTATGAGTTCTGTACCTGCCGTGAATGTCTTTGTTTTCCTGTCAACATCTAGCTCTACCACACAAAACCGAGGATCATAAAGTTCTTTAAAATCAGCAACTCGTTGTATCTGACGATATTCGGAATAACGATTCAGGATGTTTCTGGAAATAGCCGCCATTGGCGTTTTTATTGCTGTCTTAATGATATTCGAGAGCGATGAATCACTATGCCTGTCAAAGAAAAGAATAAACAACTTCAATCAACATGTAAAAAAAATTAAAAAAAATTACTCGTGTTTTTACATATACAATTGGAGTATGGCATAATCCACAAATCGGTTCATGCTTAGCAGCGCATATGATCAAAGGTACAGGTGTAATACACACCTCATTTTCCCTTATAAAACTTTCAATTGGGAGACAAACGCTGTTTGTGTACAAGCAATTGTTATTTGTTATGTTTTGGGAATAAGGACAATATTAATTTATTATTTATGGCATATTGAACTAAAATAATTAATTAAACAAGGGTACCCCGGAAGCGCAACATGATATGCCCATCATACATTGAATGAGTAGTTGGCTGTACGGTTGTGCATGAAGGGCCATAACTCCATAATATACGGTTGGACAATGGTGGTTATTGAACTTGTCTAAGCTATCATTATTATGAACCTTCCTATTAAGTTTGAAGTTAATCCGTTGAAAACTACTCGAGATATCGGGCGGACACTGTTTTGTCAATTGAATAAAGTTCAATAACTCAGTAATGTACTGTCCAATAATTACAGTTATCAAACTATTTCGAACAATCATGGCAATGAACCTTCCTATGAAGTTTTAATTGAATCTGTTGCAAATTACTCAAGATATCGACCGGACACCGTTCGCGCTTGCCCGCCCGCCGTCATTCGACGGGCGTATTCAAAATGATGAAAAATAAACGACAGTTAAAAGTGGTCCCTATTAAAGTTTTTATTAATATTTGACCTCGCTTGTTAGTGACCTTGACCTTACCTGAAGCTGACATTCGTTGCCAATTGATTTGTGTAATCGCTGAAGTGCATATTGCTGATAGTCAGATTCTGTATCCTGGAAGGAAAAAGAAATAAAGGTAGCGATTTTAATATTGGTCACTTCCGGCACCAAAAGAAAATTCACTTTGAACATAAAAATTCGCCGCAGAACTACATACATCTTCCGAGGAATAAAATGTATTCACAACATATAGAAGCACCATTACATCAGTTAAAATCGCAATGAAGAGTTGCACTCCGAGCTGATTTCTTACTCGGAATATTGTTCTTTAAGGTAAAGGGTACCACAACAAACTAAACGATATCGTTATCACTGTTACTAAAGTGAAATTTTCTGTTCAGAATTTTTCAAAATATTTTTCAAAATTCTCATATTGCCATGCATTTGAAAGAATTGTAGTTCGAAATTTGCAAATAGAAAAACACTACCCCCCCCCCAAAAAAAACAACCCCACCCCAAAAAAACTGTAGTGGTAGACAGGGGAAGTTACTCTTAGCCAGAATCTTTATAGAAGGGAGATTACAAATAAACTCTGAGTGGAGCTCTTCTTCGTTATTATTACTGATGAAGTGGTACTTTAGGGCGAATAAGAAGTTGTTTTCTGGTTTATATTGAACTCCATTCAGAGGTTCTCGCTACTGGTTCCCGTATGTCTTGCAGCCGATGAGTGAGCCTCTCATTTTCAAGTTTTGCATCCATAATTCCTGCTGAGCAAAAATTGACCAAGTTTTACATGATTCCGATCATAATTGATTATGATATTGTGTAAAAATCGTTGACCAAACAGAGTGCAGTATGCTGATAAATTATCCGTAGATATTTCCAAATATTGAATTAGCCGTTGTATTTTATAATAATGATCGACTAGGTTTCATCATAATCAGTAAATGTTTGATTAACTTATTGAGTGGCATCTATTAACTTATTAGGGAGTTGTATGTTATTTTCTTATTTACAGATATTGTTTAATCTGATATCTGATCAGTTATAGATTTATCAGAATAAATACACAGTCAGATATGAGTGATTAATGACCAGTGATAGTTTTTATCATAATATTACAGGGGCAGATAGGAGTGATCCATGATCTGTTATAGTTTTTATCATAATAATACACCTGCAGAAATGAGTGATTAAGGATCAGTTATAGTTTTAATCATAATAATACACCTGAAGAAATGAGTGATCTATGATCAGTTATAGTTTGTATCATAATAACATGCGTGCAGAAATGAGTGATCTATGACCAGTTGTAGATTTAATCATAATAATACACCTGCAGAAATGAGTAATCTATGACCAGTTATAGTTTTGATCATAATAATACACCTGCAGAAATGAGTAAACTATGTCCAGTTATAGTTTTTATCATAATAATACACCTGCAGAGATGAGTGATCCATGATCAGTTATAGTTTGTATCATAATAACATGCGTGCAGAAATGAGTGATCTATGACCAGTTGTAGATTTAATCATAATAATACACCTGCAGAAATGAGTGATCCATGATCAGTTATAGTTTGTATCATAATAACATGCGTGCAGAAATGAGTGATCTATGACCAGTTGTAGTTTTTAACAGACTAATAAACGTTGTTAATTACAGTAAATACCCAAACCTGCCTTCATACTTACATTTACGTATGTAAGTGTGTACCTATTAAGCTTCACACCACGGACTGAGATAGGTAATCTAATTCCCTGCTGCATACCACATATTCCAACATGTCCCCTTACAAATACACATGTACTTAAGACCCTAGGTACGTACTAAAAAAGTACATACTTACCTACCCACAAACATATGTATTTACCTACATATATTGATATATCCATACAACTCATACCTACCTATCTACCTACGATAAAACACCTATCTACTTGATCTACCTGCATCGTCGGGTATCCGACATGCTCTATCTACCAATAATAAACTTGTTCTGGTTTTAAGGGAGATAATTCAGAATACGTACATGACTAAGGCAAGCACGGTGATGACAAGGCAAATTAGCACCTTGACTGGGGGACGTTGAATCATGATGATACTTTCAACCAAGAGGGGTAAATCTTTTTATGACCTCATCTCGGCGTTGCCGGTATGATCTTCAAATGTGTATAAAGGTTATCCCAGCAGCGATACCTCCAAAGTTTTAGTTAGAGAAAGTTGTCATCAAGCCATCAGTTCTCGCTGAAAATGAAAAAACAAATTATTGAATAACATGTCGGTATTTTGTGTAAGGTTTTGTTTTGGTTTTTGTATTGTTTCAATGCTCATCGACAAAGCAAGTCATATAGGGTCAAACAACACTGTAAAATCAAATTAGAAATGAAAAGTTTTAAAAAGTGTAGTTTCAGATTCTTTTATATCAACAATGAACGAATAGGATGGGAAATGATATCAGATTGTGGGTCGTGTGCAATATTAAGTATGTGCATCAACTAAGGCAACATGTGGTGATTTTTATGGTTTTGTAATAGTCTTAGATATTAAATTTATATATCGTTCAGCTAGGTAACGTAAGCGGTCTGTCTCAGTACCTTTTCAAAACCGTCTCTCTGGCATGTATGACGTGGACACTCAGCAAGTTATAACAGTATCATCTGTTTCTCCAGATAGACATAGGAACCGGTGTCACATCAGATTTAGATATTACCATCACATCACAGGAAATAGCTTTCTTGGCCAGCGAGTAACAGCACGCTATCCCATATTGGCAAAATTTAATTTTAAACCAATTACAAAATCAATCCAATTCCTGCCAAAATGGATATTTGACAACGCCGATTGGCCAAAAATCCAGAACATTTGTAAAAATAATATTTAAACGAAGTTAAAAGCAATGACATTGACACATACACTAAAATCCTGACAAAACAAATAATAGAAGCATTATCATAAACCATACCAAACACTTCCGCCAAACCAAAAAATGAATACATATTTAAACCATGGTGGAATGAGGGCTGTTCGGTAAGACAACAAAAAGATTTGAATGGGGAACAGTTTGCAAGAAAACCCCTACAGAATTAAACTTCTAAAGTTACAAAATAGCTGCAATTAAGTTGAACAGAACATGTACAAAATACAAAAAAAACAACATTGAATAAATTTTTGTAACTCGCTAAACAATTAAACTAATTATAAAACCGTATGGAATGAAATCAAAGCCATACAAGGGATACCGCTAAAGGTAATATCAATTCTAGTGGGAAACGGGGAAGGTCAAGGACTCACGCAACTAAATCAGCCAATCAGCAAGTGTTTCCTACGATTATATTAACATATGCATTTTCCATTAACTCTATGGAAAGTCAGCCTGCAGTTACAGGACAGTAACTGCAGTCTGCATTATCTTGTCACATGACCATGGTTTCCGTGACGTCAGTGTTAGCAACCACTCCCACCGATAAGATAGCCGTCATCTTGTTGTTGTCGTTTGGTTCTTCAGACAATGAAAACATCCAGCTAAGCTAAGAAATTTCAAACGAATGATCTTCACCCATATTCAAGGTCACAGGGGTCAAATATGTTTAAAACGTTATATCAACTTCTCATGAATAACCAAAAGGTCTAGGGGGAAATGATATTTGGCCAGTTCATGTTGGGATGGAAGGCTATAAACTCTGTCCAACTAAATGTCGTCCTTGTTTTGAATGACTTTGAGTCAAGACACTGATATTTTTCCTGTAGCTTTATTTTAGTCTAATCTTAAGATTACAATTGTGAGATTAATAACAGGTGAGCGATGCAGGCCCCTTCGGCCTCTTGTTCAATATGTCAACTTATTTTTTTTTATCTGTTTCGATAGATTTATTTATCTCATTTATTTTACTATATGATAATCTGGTATTATATTTTTGTGACGTTTAATATCGGTTTTGTTTGATGGTAAGTTATTTTCATACTTTTTTCCATTTAAAATTTATGAAAAATAGAAGTACGAATGTCTCTTTCGCTCTTTGGAAGTCTCCTTTAGTAAGTTACCAAGTACTGTTCATAAGCTAATGTATACATTACAAAATAAGGGAACTGTGTCATTTAAATGGCTCACATATGTTAAAGATATTTTATCCCAAACTGACCTGAACTATGTGGGGTACTATCAATCTACATGTTCCTCTTCAAAAGACGGTATTAAAAGGCTTATGAAAAGTAGACTAAAGGATCAATTTATACAGAAATGGTTTGATGATATTTTTAACTCCTCTATAGGAAAAACATATTTAATACTTTGAACAAAAGCAATTTAATTAAGCTTAATACAAATGATATAATAATCATGTGTAAATTTCGTTCTTCCAATATGCATTTACCCGTAGAAAAAGGAATATGAATAGGTATTCCTCGTCAAGATAGAACCTGTACATTATGTAATTCCGACATTGGAAATGAATTGCATTACTTATCTTCAAGTTCAAGTTCTTTATTACTTTAATTCGGTTGACTTATCAGTTATAACATATATACAAAACAATACAGAGACAACTTACAATATGATACACACACACACATAAACACACACACACACACCGTGGAGAGTGAACACTAACAATCAGCTCAGATCTCCTTTTGTTTGCTTGTATTAAAAATTTGCCAAGATTGCGAATGTCGGATACATTCTCACAAGTAAGTAGTTGAATTAATTTCTACAGAATTGTATGTCTTACATAATATTTCTTAATTAGTTTCAACCTTATATCAATATAGCAGGGACATTTTAAAATGAAATGGAACTCATCCTCGACATTATTCAGGTCACATAGTGTACACAATCTGTTTTGTCTTTCAGTTCTATTATATCTGCCACACTCAATATTTAACTTATGTGCAGACATTCGAATTTTACATATTTGTTTTAGAAACATTATATTTACAGGTTTTGATAAATAATACTGGTGACCAAAATTACCATATATTGACACAATGCTCCTTTAGGAGAAGATTGAATTTTTCAAAACATTATTGTCTGAATATTCACAAAGACGTTCTTTTATAATATGAAAAGTGTTATTATTTGAACTGGAGGATTCCCACACATTTCCAAGACCAATTCTGTGTAATTCTTGTTTTACACTAATAAACCAAATGTCAATATTACAAAGCATATCATCATAGCATGACCTTAGAATACAATTTCCTACATTTCTATTTTTTCTTACAAACATTTAATAATGCAAACAAAGCTTTTCTCCCGTGGTCAGCAACTTGCTTTTGAGTTTGTCTAAATTTTCCGTTAAAATTCACTAGTACACCAAGGTAATTGAATTGATCGACAACATCCAATTTATTTCCTTCGTAAAACCATATTTCATTTCCCCTTAATATCCCTTCATTTCTAAACACGACAATTTTTGTTTTCCCAGTATTTACGGTCAAATCACCTTTTTTGGTATGATTTGCAAGAGAGTCTAACATTGTTTGCAAACCCTTTGGTGTTTCAGATATAATCACCATATCATCTGCATACATAAGTAAAAACATATTGATATCCTGTATTTCAATAGATGGACAATTATCTGATAAAAACTGCATTTCACAATTCGGAGAGAGTACCATTATATTTAACACAACATTTCACACTTTCATATAATGATCTGATCACTTTAAGAAGTTTACTTTCTACAACTTCTTTGATCATTTTATACCATAAGTTCTAAAAAAAAATCTAAATGTTAAAGCAGGGATGTGTAGTGGTCCACTACACATCCGTGGTGAAAGTTATTCAGTTAAATGACTTAAAGAGAAATATATACCAAAATATTATTTTACTTATCCAAGTCAAATGAAAATGCAAGGATTGTTTAATATATTTGATGTTAAAATGTACACAAAAGTTTGTAGATTCCTAGAAAAGCTTGATGTATGTATGTGTCGGAGTGAATGAATAAAACTTGAAACTTGCAAATCTATACTTACGTCACGTGTCATAGGAAGCTACATTCTTTTCCAGCCCCGCTATTGTTCCCGATGACGGAATACTTTTCTACGGGCATATCAGGTAACAATTGTTTTTCTGCTCTAAGCACAATGCATGTATACTGATGTTTTTGCTATTACTACTACTGTTATGCATATATCACACCGCACAAATATGTTTGTATGGGTCCAGTGTCTGTATTGGATCCTTACGTGTTTTTTGTTATATTTTTAAAAGTCTATTAAATTGTATCACGAGATACAATAATTGGTAGTTACGAGTTCGTGAAGTGTCACGCCCACCGAAGTATCATAAGTCGCGAGTCTACTTTTATACAATATAAGGCTCCTATCTTGCATAACGTCTGAAAATTGTCGCCAGTGTTTCATGTACCAGGTACACCACAGTATAGTTATGATTACACAGCAATATCCTAACATGGTATATAGCATGTTTGGCAATAAAGTGGCGTGTTTCGTCGATGTCAGGGTACATAAAGACGGCTGTATTATTACCCGGTCGCCGACCAATTACTCAAATATTATCTACTATGAGGCCAACCATGGGGAAACTTGACAGTAACAGCCCGGGTAAATGGAGAGGTTAAGCATTTTTTTTTTCATTTTTTTTTAAAATACTACATAAACATATCAAGTGAGTCTACGTATGAAAGATAACGGTCGGATTTAGATGATATATATTCATAAAAATGAGTAATAAATATCGGGATTTCTACCTGTCTGACAAACGTTTTGTTCTAGGATTTCCCTCTACTAGCGCATGCGCATAGCACACCATTTCATTGTGAACAAAATGACTGCCCGTGTGAAGTTAAATCGTGACTGTGCCAAAAGCTGCCAAATGGTAAAATGATAGCGCAAGTATTACGTCACGGAAGCATTATTGTAGAAATTCTGTTTATATTATGAATACATATCTAAAATTAATAACCTCGCTAGTATCTTTGTTTAAGTTGGAACACAGATTAAACTTATTTTGTTATGTTATGGGCATGTATCGGAGAGAGTTTACTTTGCCTTTTTATATACAGTAGTTTATGCGAGAGGAAGGGTCAAGTGACTGGATCTGTCTCGTCGATTGGTCGATACATTATGTATGACATGATCTTCACTATCACCAAATGGTAGAAGTAGAGAAGGGAAAAGTGACTGGTTAGCTTGATTTTGCTATGGGGCCCTCCAAGGGGAAACTGTACATGTTGTGATGTCCTACGCTGTCGGTACTCGGGGTCAAATGAGATACGTGCGCTATTAGATTTACCACGGAATTAGATGATTTACATAATTAACAATATTCACGGGTTCAGTAAAATGATATGATCTAATTATAGTAAACGAATTTTTTTCACATGCACGATTAAAATATAACAAAATGACAGATCAAAATGAATAACTGAGGAAAGATAACCTACTTATAGTAAATAGGATCGCATAACAAAAACTACTTTTTAAATCGTAATTTTTCAACAGTTCATGTTTTCACATCATGTTGACTTAGAATGAAAGATCATGCAACAACTTTTGTCTATAAATAATTCATTTTCGACTTCAGATAGAGTCGGAATATGCATTGAAAACGGAAAAATTGTTTACGTTATCAAAAGGGGGCGCGCTACCGATAACTACGGCTTCTGTTTCGGACAAAAGGAACTGTTTAAAGAAAGGTTATCTCAACATAAAAAGGGGCTATTAACAAGTATGTTTTAATCTCTGTAAAGTATTGAACACATATAATTATCAAGTATCTCAACACGTACGTTCCATATACAGTATATTTGACCTATGTACACGGAGTGGTTTTGCCAGAAATGTTAATTGTGTGTGATGGCTTATATGACTTACTAAGTGTTAACGTATGCAGACATTGAAAGTGGGAAAGAGAGTATACATGGATATATATATATATATGCATGGTCTAGAAAAAAGTAGTGGTGCAGTGGATAGCGCACTTGCCTTTCACCAAGGCGGCCGGGGTTCGATTCCCTGATCGGACGCGGAAAGGTTGGGGTCACCTGCCCGACCACGTGGGTTTTCTCCGGGTACTCCGGTTTCCTCCCACACTAAGACCCCCCCCNGCTAACATCCGGGCCAACAAGAGTGATTAATATAAGTTGGTATAACTTGTTTCATAATTGTTGTTAAATAAATAAAATTTATATTTATAGAAAAAGGTGACCAAAGACATTTAGTCGTAATAATAAAAAAAACCCAACTTTTATTTGTATATACTTGTCAAAACATACAGTGTATTATATTCTTTATGAAAACATTTGAAATAGGATATTTGTCTCATGAATATTCCTTTTTACAGAAAGGGTTGTCACATGGTTGAGGGAAGGTGTTTAGCCCCGTATCCATTTGTACCGGTCACATTCCGGTAGTAGATATTTCCTGGTGTCTATAAATAATGCCGATAGGCCAACAAATATTTCTACATTTAAATTTTGAATAATGGCATGTGTGCAATTAACTTCTGATGGTGAATAATTACTGCTAAGGGGATTCAATAAGTTTCAACAAGGACTTGGAAATCATATGACTTCATTTCATAGTGCGGTAAGAAGTTGCAGTTGCCTGACGGCCCCTCATGTTTCTAGACGTGTAACGGATTAAGTAAGCGTGTCATGATATTCAATATATCGCCAGCAAATAACACAGACCACGAGTGTAAACACGATGCAACTTTAATGTAGAGGCGGAAAAGAGGCTGCATTACATAATAATAGAACCAAAGCCGGATCGCCGAATCCGGAATACTAATAACTGGCGTTGGACTGACATTAGGGGTACTTACAATAAGAGGTATACGGATCTAGGGGGAGCAACCATTGTTTATAAATGTTTCGATGTACACTTTGCGTATATATCCTTTTTAACGATACATTTTATCGTATTGATGTTATTGAATAGGGCTGTTGTATGCTGTAAACGAACATTCCGTGCCGTGACGTTATGCTAATGCAGCCAAGCGATAACTTTCTTTAATCAAGTTGTCCAACTTAGAATGCACTTCCAATTGCTGTAAGGTCCCATCTTTCAAGAGAGGAACTCGATGAGAACGTACAAAAATAAACATAAACATGTACTTGTTTTACAAAAGAAGATACATGTATGTGTAACGGATTAAGTAAGCGTGTCAAAGATATTCAATATATTACTCATACATCAAATTTGACAACTTAAGATAGAGTTTGGTGCGTTGTTTACTAATGAGATTTGTGTAAGCCTTGCTGTAGTTCTGGTTTTAAGTTGTTTGTTTAGATTTTATGATGACAGAAAATGTTTCGTGCTTTTGTGTACACATTGTATTATAATGGTTACGCACGTATCAGATTAAACAACAAATTGATGACGGAATCATTTTTTTTCCCGATGATGCAAATCATGTTTCTAGACAGTGAAACTGTACGAGCGTAGGTCTCGGGCGCCGCAGGTGTTAGTGTAAAGTTTGCCCATGGTAAACCATTCGTACATATAAAGGTAAAACAAAAGCAACAGAATATATGCTTCCTTTGAAATCGAATAGTCAGAGAACACTGTTGAAAATATGTAAGCTTACCGTTGAAATGCGCTGTTAAAACTACTGTTTCAACAGTTAAATGCTATTAGCAGGCAAAACAGCTTTCACAGCTTTGAATCATTTCGAGATATAATACGTTCAAAATTTAATAACATAAATACAGATTCTTTTACAATGGCGTATGCATCTAACACAGCATTCCTCTCAGTAACATTTTAATGACAACGGATGATGCTGAACGTTAAGCAGGGATTAACAACTTCCATTCTTTAGGACTTTGGTATGTCCCTGCCTGGGTGACAGAACCCGTTGCCTTCCTCGCCTGGGTGAACGCTCAACACTAAAGCCAAAAGTGAGGCACTGCCAAGCATGCGCTAGATATTTAGAAGTAGAGAGTAATATAACGATCCCAAATATTGCACTGGGTGCAGTAGATTTATTTTGGTTGCTTTTGTGTCCCCAAGTAGAGGACACACATGGAAAATCCCCAATTCTACATATGCAGTTGGTAACAGCAGGTGTATTCTTTTATCGATCCCTGATATACTGGGATGTCGCCACATGTTAAACCTGATATGCTGGGATGTCACGACAGGTTATCAATATTTAAAAAGTACATGTAACCATGAATACAGCACAGACGTTTTATGTACTTTTCCTACTCTGACGCTGTACAGACACACTTGTTTGAACTGACTGAGTAGAGAACCATAAGGTTAAGAGGCGTGATCAAAACATAGTTATTACGACAACATTTATATAAACATTCCGCTTACGGTAACTCCATACTTATGATTTATATTGAAACAACTCAGCTTTTAATAAATCAATTACAACATTACGTACATGTATGTAGCAGATTTAGTTGTAGGTTTCTAAGCTAACGGGACCACACTCTGATTTTGTTTATACATTTTTAGTCACCCCTGGGGAAACCCCAGTGGGGACTATTAATTTCGGTTTCAGTCCCAGATTTTGACCTCTGTTGTCTTCGGCTGTTAAGTGTCTTGCTTCTGTTGGAATATACCAGGCGCTAATTACAAGCTCTTGGATAACTCAAATATCGATTTCCTTTTCAAACAGGAATAGCATAAAACCTAAAGACGTTCCAAATTTCCCACGGGAATAACATATCACCTAAAGATGTTCCGAATATGAATCAGGCACCTTTGAGGTTCCCGAAGGGGTCAACTGTCGTATTATAAATTGCTATTGACTGATTTAGATATTTTATGTCTGACCAACGACTACCGTTAATATTTAGTGCGCATTTTTTTAAGGAAAAAAAGAAGTGTCAAGAAAGGGGTGTACACGATACTCAAGAATAATCCAAAACCAGTCCTTAGTCGCGACCATTTCTCGTAATTTTATCGAGGATTTTCGGAAATGTTTTGAAATATGCTCGCAGCAATAAAACTGCTAAATTTCGTTGAATAATCCCTGATTGCATTGCCAATTTAACAATAACGAAAAATTGCAAGTTTAAGTCATATTATTCAATAGAATCGGATAAAACAACTCGAGTAAAGTAGGCCCAACTTTTCAGGACGTTACGTTGTGAATTGATAAATACCACTTATCGGGAAACATAACGAAGAATTGTATCGCATTAATCACTCTGTGGTTAAAATGTCGTTCTTTGGTAAAATCATGCTGAACTCTTCAATCTTGACAGTATGAATATGTCAAAACGACACGGGTAAAGTGGCGAAGCTAGCGAGAGTCAAGTCCGCGAGATACTATTAACCGGCAGGAATTTACAAAGTTACATCCTTAAGAATTGAACCGATATTGATGAAAGTTTGAGTTTGAAAATTAAATATTAACGGGTTTAAAACAGCCAAATATATTCCGATCTTTTCCTTTCGAAGGAGAATTGCTAAAATCACAATTGTTTGGTGTTCTTCATTTCTCGCGAATTCGGCTGTTGGCGGTCCTCGTCGGATTGACTGCCTTTAGCGTACACATTCTGCCGATATCGATGACCGATTTAGTCGGATTTGCAGACGATCAGAAAACTACTTGGAAAAGTGTATTTCATAACAAAAAAGGTAGCTTTATCCGTATATACGATTGAATCTTTTCTGAAACTTATTGTTGTTAAAACAACATCGTTATTTTCCAATTACCTGTTCTGCCCATGCCAGGTGACCGTGTCAGCGCGC